GGAGCTGCAACAGAGAAGGCCCTCCCCCGGGTCGTAGCCAGATGGCATTGGCTAGTGGATGGAACCCGGAGGAGGCCGGCCCCGTGCGATCTAATGGGTCTTTGGGAGGCCAAACCCAATTCCAGCTGTTCTTTGTATGCTTTAGCCTCCAGGCCCCTCATCATCTTTGTGGTAGCATCCTACAGCATATATTTGGGTGGGTAGCAGACCTTCCCTGCCTGAACGAGTGGGACGGGCTAGTGCGATGGGGCGAATATCCATGGAGATCTTGGCCCTCTGCCACGTAAAGCTTTCTAGGTAACCACCACCCCCTTCCTAGCCGCCGCCTGCCCGTCCCAAACACTTACTGCGTTTTCTCTTCTTCCGGCCAACGTCGTCCTCCGAGTCTCCTGAATCGCTGGCCTCTTCCTCCTCCTCCTCGTCTTCATCGTCGTCGTCATTGATGAAGCCTTTCAGGTTCCCTTGTTCATCCTGGTCGTCCAGGTTCTCCTCTTCCTCCTCCTCTGAAAGAGGCAGCCAAAAACAAAATAAATAAAAACCAAATGAAAACGGAGACCTGGCCCTGAAGGGGGGGGGCCAAAGGTTACGCCAGGTGTCAAAAGTTGACGGGGTCAGAAGAACTTCAGGGGAGCAGAGTCCCACGAAGCCCTTGGCTTTGGGTCACAAGTTGATCTGTGGAGGATTCAGACAGCAAGCAGTTCCCATTCCAGGGATGGGCAAACCAGATGAGGTTCAGGTAGGCACAAAGCAGCCACCAAAAGGAACGGTAGCCGACTTCAAATTCCAGCAAGGCCGGGAGTTGTGGGGCTCCTGAAAGGCCAACTGACATATTGTGACCAAATGGGTTCTGGTCACAAAGGAGCAGGGCCTCTGGTCTCCATCTCCGAGGTGATGCTGGCAGAGAAGGCCTGAGTCCAGGTCTCCCAAGGGGACCCCGAACAGGGAGCTCTGTGAATTTTGGTGGGGCAAATGAAAGAAACCAGAGAAAGAGACCTCTCCCCCCAACTCTGTTGGCCCGTGTTATGCAGGGCTTTCAGATGACCAGCTGTGGCCTGAATTGGACTCAGAAGGCCACCGGGAAAATGGCAACTGGCAGAGCAGAGGTATTATGGAAGGGCTTCAAAACTTGCCTCCTGGATGGAGGGGTAAAGAGCTCACCCCTCTGCTGTCCGGCTCTTGCTCTCAGTTCGTGCACATCTCTTTTTAATTTTAATTTTGTAGTTATCTTTCTCCTTGTTTGTAATTCACTAAGGGCTCCTTTATCAGGGAGATGGGCAGCATGTCAATTTAGTAAGGAGCACGGTGGCTTGTTGTGGTTGGGACACTGGGGAGGAGGTTTCCAAGCTCGCATTTGAGACCCACGTCCCACTGTGGGATGGAGCGAGTTCCCATCATTTGCTCCAGCCCCTTGATGGGGATCTAAAAGGAGCCCCCCACGGGAGTCCCCAAGGCAACAGAGATACCACTGGCTAATCCTTTCAACCCAGAAGTGCCTCACCAGGTCCCTGTGACCCAGAGGGACAGGGGATTCAATCTACTTGGCCATCCTGTGGAATGCCCAAAACTGGACCAATGGCAGAATCTGAATGCTTTTCAAGGGCAGCCCCATGTGCAGAACGTTATAGTAATCCAACCACAAAGTGATCGAGATACGAGTGACCGTGAATATGGCCCACGGGGTTAATTTATTTTATTGATTTATTGAATTTATTTGCTGTCCATCTTGTAACGAAACGACTTTTAAACTTTCACTGGACAAATCGAGGGACCGAACACAACAGACACGTGTTGGGAATGCTATCTACGCTCACCATCTTCATCTTCCACAAACTTTTTGGGTGGTCTCGTGACCACTTCTCCGTCTGCGTCGTACTCCTCCTCCGATTCCTCCGCTTCGCTTTCCACAAAGTCGGACATGGCTGCGGTTCTCAGTCGCGCTGCCTGGAGGGGGGGGGAAGAGGCCGGAGTTAAAAAGAGGCCTCCAAAACTGCTTTACAGTTGTGGCAGGAATTACGCATGTGTAACGTTTACATTTACAACATTTGCAACTTACGGCCAACCCTCGGGGTGCTAACAACCAGATGAGACAGCAAAGAATATAAATCCTTCCATTCCCCACCAGTTAGTCAGAACTGAAGAAGCTTCTCAGATGAGAAACGAAACATTTTCAAAAGAAAAAAAAAAACCCAAGGAAGTCCAGTTGCTTTTTGGGAAAAGTATTTCTGAGGCAACAATGGCCTGAAGTACTGAGAATCCACACGGGCATTTTACTCATTTACAAAGCAGCTTAGAACTAAGGAGAAATTTCCTGACAGTGAAAACAATCCATGGAACAAAAACTTGCTTCCAGAAGTTGTGGATGCTCCAGCACTGGAAGTTTTTAAGATGTTGGATAACTATTTCTCTGAAACGGTATAAGGTTTCCTTCCTGCGCTGGGGGTTGGACTAGAAGACCTCCTAGGTCCCTTCCAACTCTGNAGGACCCAGACTGTGGGGGCGATATGCTGACTCTGTAAACCGCTTAGAGAGGGCTGAAAGCCCCATGAAGCGGTATATAAGTCTAACTATTGCTAACTATTGCTATTCTTCCGAACCTTGCTGTGGATGAGGGCTCCTTCCGTCAGCTCAGGGTGTTCGAGAATGTTAATCAGACATCGCTTCTATGACTGTTAAGTCTTCTCACCACCTCCCAGAAGAGTCAAAAATAGCCACAGGTTACCACAGTGGCTCCCTTCCCAAACAGCTGCAGAAGAGATGGTTTGAGCAGAAGCCCGCGTTCAGCTATCTTTGCACATCACAGCATGCTTGAAACCAACAGAGCCCACCGCACTGTCTCTTCCTCAGCCAATTTCTGTTTGGCTTCCCCCCCCCCCTGACACCAGACCACAGGCTAACGGTTTCCTGCTCCTTCCAATGTGTAGCATCCGGGAGACAGGGCCTCTTTTCTGAATACACGGATACACAGCTGCAGCTGCCCCTTGCTGTGCAAGGAAACCGCCTGCATATCTTCCCTGCTAATTCTGGGGAGGAGGGGAGTGAAGGTAGGGGCTGTGGGTTGAGGAGAAAATCAGGGAGGGAAGTGGGGGGTGTTAAATTAGGAAAAGACCGAATCTCACAAGATGAAATTCAAAACAGAAATTCAACATCCAAAATGGAGGCAACCCTTTGCGTGGCTCAAATGATTTGTGGAACAGCCACCATTGTGGATCACAGTATTTTTGCTGACAAACCTGTTATGCTTTCAGGAACATATAATCAGCAGATCTAATTGTCAGATGCTGACTGTTTATTTCATTCCCTTCTAATCAGCTTCAGACCTGGGAAGAGGACATAAACAGCTCTAGTGAAAAACGTATGCTGGAGGACGCAGCGTTTTTAAATATTCTGGTCCCGTCAACACAGGTTACGCGCATTGATTCTGTTTTCCTTCTAGAGTTGGAGACATGGTGTATCAATCACAGTGGGTGTTGGTCTTTCCGGTGGAAAAGTGTCCAAAAGCAGTATGAGGAATTCCTATTCTTTCACTCCCAGGACCCTATGGAGTCCATCTGTTTTTAACATTTGCATGAGGAAGTCATCCAGAGGTTGGGATTGAAGTATCGTCGCTGTGCAGATTGTGTATTTGTTTCTGCATTTTTAGTCCCTTCCATGTGTCCCGGGAAAACTGATAAGAACTCTTAACTAGTTTAGAAATTGTTTGAAAATAGATGAAAGTTAACAAGTTGAGACAAAAAATATGCTTAACATTTTGCTTAAAAGGACTACTGTAAGTATTCCAAAAAAGGCTACATCCAGTCTTAGTTGTAGTTGAACCCTACTTGAATAACCATGAGTAAAGTTTTCACTAACTGGACAAGCAGGCTTTAGCATTAGGAACAATTTATATCAACTGGGATTCCTCATACCAGTTTCGATCATGTCTGGAAATGATGGATTTTGCATCAGTTGTCATGTACCACTGATATCCAAGCTGCACTCCTACATGAAATGCCTTTGAATATAAGGGGAGGAGAAATCTGCCTCAGCTACGAGAGAAAGAAGATGGTTGAAATATAGTAATCCATGTATTTTTAAGAAGATTTTTAAGGTATTATGATTGTACATGTATACTGCTATTTTTTCTTCTTTTTTATGTACATTGAAATGGAATTATAAATACCATCAACACAAAAGGGAGTTTGCTCAGAAGCTGAAATACACCAAGGCATTT